TGGCGTAGTGAAGACCAGGACGTGGTCTTCGCCCTAGTCCAACTGTTCCTTGATCTTCGGAAAGTGGGTTTGACCTGCTCTTTCGGAGATGGGCAGTTAGCTGATGACGTGTCCCCGCATAGGGGGGCACGTGGAGAACGTGCGCCGGGCACGTTGTCCTCCCCGCGGAGGGGAGCTCGCGAGGTTCCCCGGAGGGCGTTGTTCTCCCCGCGGAGGGGAGCACGCGAGGACGCGGAAGAACCAAGGGTCTTGCTCGACGGACCGGGGGTGCTCTGTTCGACCGACAAAGGGGGCGTTGAGACGCTGCAGGACGTGCCGTCCATCCCGGCGGGGTGCGTGCCCTGTCCGTCCCACGATGGTGCGTGTGCCCGGTCGGGCTAGTTCGCTTAATGGGCCTTGTGCGTTATTGGGCTGGACCGCAAGGCTGGGCCCAGACCAGAACAGTATGTTTTTAGTAATTTTATCTTTCGATTCTTTTTGACAAATGACTAAGTATCTTTTATATATATATATATATATATATATATATATATATATATATATATATATATATATATATATATATATATATATATATATATATATATATATATATATATATATATATATATATATATATATATATATATATATATATATATATATATATATATATATATATATATATATATATATATATGGGATCAAAATACACTCGGAAACTCAAGGTAAACATTTAGTTTCTTGTTCACATTATTGATTGATACTTATCAAGAAAGAGAAGAGATTTTCTCCATACTCTAAAGAAGACTTTGGTGGATTTGAGTAAAGGTTTTCACAAAACAAAGTTGAGATTTGTCCTCATTCTTTGTTAACAATCGCTAAGACAAGTCTTCGTCGTATACGAGTAAAGAATGTTGCAGAAATAAATCTTAGAGCATAATTTTATGTCTATCAAGTTTGTTGGATCAAGATCATTAAAGGTCTTGAGTCTTAGCAGTTGAGTAATCTGCATCAATAGAAGGAATTATTGTTTTGGATTCGTGTTGGCTAAAGTATTGTGTTATTGGTGTTTGGGTTGATAATCATTTGTTGTAATTGTACCAAAATACTTGTATCATTAACTTTTAAAATTGGTGAAATTATTATCATTTCTGATGGTGAAAATCATCAAAGAGTGGAGTAGGCATAACGAGGACGAATTGTCGAACCACTATATATTAAGTGTACATTTTTCTCTCTCAATCACCTTTAATTTTCTGCATATTATCATGCATGTTAGGCATTGTTCATCATTAGAATGTCATCTAGAATTAGATCTTTCTTATAGTGTTTTATCATAAATGTGTAGGTATGAGATACATTTAATTCGTTGAATATTCAATGCTTAAATCAAGATTGTATTAAGTTTGTATTGTCTCTAAGTTGTTTGATTTAAATCGTTTGTAAAAGAAACTTCAAGTTCCCTAGTTCTTTATGATGTTGATTGAACTATTGTTCATATGATAATAATGAAACATATAGCTTCTAATTGATCTGTTGCATTTTTCCCTCCGCTTATCGTGTTTTGATTCTGAACTTTTAACTCTAGTTTTGTTAACGAAAATATTTTTAAAATTGGTTTAAAAGGGGATTTCTGTATTAAGTGTGAGTCTTGTTGATCCATCCAATATTTTCATACTCTCGCTCAACAATTTCTTTTATAGGACTTTCCACAAAATCTCTCTAGGCACTTCATATGCCTTCTCTAAGTCAATGAAAATCAAGTGCAAGTCTGGTTGGTCATCTGATATTTTTCCATCACGTCGTAGTATATATATCGCTTCCATGGTCGACCTCCTAAGCATAAAATCAAATTGATTCTCATTGACTTGAATATGTTTTCTTAGTCTTCTTTCCATCAATATTTCTTATAATTTCATGGTATGACTTATAAGTTCAACCCCTGTATAATTTGCACAAATTTGTATGTTCCACTTGTTCTTTTAGATTGAAACTAACTTCTTCTCCATTTATCAAACATTCGTTTTAACCTCATAATTTCGTTAAAAAATGTTGTGAGCCAATCAAAGAATAAAACTAATTCAAATGAATAAAACTAATTAAAGAATAAAACTCACAAAATATTATCGTTGAAGTTTCGGTTCGACTCGTACAAGTGAAGTGAGGTTAAGGTTCAAAAGTTTTTAATTTGGATTGCTCTGGTAAATGAAAAGTCTAATGTCTAATGAAAAAAAAGTTATTTAAAGTGAATAAAATAATAAAGTAGGAAAAGTTTTATTGGGCTGAGTTTTTTAAAATTTCAAGAAAAAAAAGGTAAAATCAAGTCAAAGATAAATCCCAATGATTTTACATGATTTTACAGATTTCAAAGAGATTTAAATCGTGTAAAATCGTTCCAGTATAAGATTTTACTTAAAAATAATTTTACCTGCGATTTAACACCAAATACCGATCTGAAAACGTAAAATCTAAGAGTTTAGGTTTTAAATCACGATTTTAGCAACCTTGGATTATTTTGTTCGATTGTGCATTTCCGTATCCTTTCTTTTGTTTGATTGCAACTTTTTTCCATTGATTTTTTTTCAACCCTAATTTTTATAAATTATATAATTCACATTATCGATCTAGACATCATATCTATTGAAGTATATAGTTTTTTTAGAGATAGAGATATTGATTGGCTCACAACATTTTTTAACGAAATTATGAGGTTAAAACGAATGTTTGATAAATGGAGAAGAAGTTAGTTTCAATCTAAAAGAACAAGTGGAACATACAAATTTGTGCAAATTATAGAGGGGTTGAACTTATAAGTCATACCATGAAATTATAAGAAATATTGATGGAAAGAAGACTAAGAAAACATATTCAAGTCAATGAGAATCAATTTGATTTTATGCTTAGGAGGTCGACCATGGAAGCGATATATATACTACGACGTGATGGAAAAATATCAGATGGACCAACCAGACTTGCACTTGATTTTCATTGACTTAGAGAAGGCATATGAAGTGCCTAGAGAGATTTTGTGGAAAGTCCTATAAAAGAAATTGTTGAGCGAGAGTATGAAAATATTGAATGGATCAACAAGACTCACACTTAATACAGAAATTCCCTTTTAAACCAATTTGAAAATATTTTCGTTAACAAAACTAGAATTAAAAGTTCAGAATCAAAACACGATAAGCGGAGGGAAAAAATGTAACAGATCAATTAGAAGCTATATGTTTCATTATTATCATATGAACAATAGTTCAATCAACATCATAAAGAACTAGGGAACTTGAAGTTTCTTTTACAAACGATTTAAATCAAACAACTTAGAGACAATACAAACTTAATACAATCTTGATTTAAGCATTGAATATTCAACGAATTAAATGTATCTCATACCTACACATTTATGATAAAACACTATAAGAAAGATCTAATTCTAGATGACATTCTAATGATGAACAATGCCTAACATGCATGATAATATGCAGAAAATCAAAGGTGATTGAGAGAGAAAAATGTACACTTAATATATAGTGGTTCGACAATTCGTCCTCGTTATGCCTACTCCACTCTTTGATAATTTTCACCGTCAGAAATGATAATAATTTCACCAATTTTAAAAGTTAAAGATACAAGTATTTTGGTACAATTACAACAAATGATTATCAACCCAAACACCAATAACACAATACTTTAGCCAACCCAAACGAGTCAGAATCGAGTTTTTTACTTTGACTCGTTTTGACTAGGTAAAATCGAAATGTAAAATCGCAGAGTTTACTTCATGTTAAAATAATATTAAATATAAATTTAAATAATAAAAATAATCAAATTTAAATAATAAATTTTAACTAAAAGAGTAAGACACTAAAGAAAATTTGTCAAAAATATACACAATAAATCAAATCAACATTTATTAAATTGGTATATTAAAATAATAAAAATAGCAAAACACTCTTGACAATCACTTAAATTACAAACCATAGTAGCATTCAAAGATACATAATAGCAAAATTAGAAACATTGTAACAAACATAGTAGCAAATCAAGTTACATACAATCACATAATATCAATCAAAGAATAAAACTCACTTCATTTATCAAATTAAATCAAATCAAATCAAATAAAACTAAACCAAATTAAATTAAAACAAACCAAACTAATTCAAATGAAATCAAACCAAATATAGAGATGAAATCAATCCAAAGCTAACATAGAGATGAAGCAAACGAAACCAACAAAAAAAAATATAAATCACAATAGAGAAAGAATCAACCAAAAGATATATACATGAACAAAACTAAAACCAACACAGAAAAAATCAACCGAAATCATATATAATTCAATCTTAATCTTGAAACACATAATGTAGGAAGACAAACATATGCCAATAACTATTTAACAATTCAACAATAATATTTTATTTCAATTTCTTTAATACAACAAATCAATCAAAATCAAATAAGAGGCATTCTCAAACTTTTGAGAATCAATAGTAGAAGTAATGTGCAATTCAAAGACGACTAAACAAACTCTAATAAGTGATAGCAATTCAAAGAAGACTAAACAAACTCTAATATCATACTACAAACACCCCAATTACAACAAAAGACCATTATATATCATCTGATACTACATACAGCCAATTTGAGATCTACAGTTTCATGGTACATCAAAATGCTGATTTCATTTTTTTATTATAGAAAGCACATGCAGGCTGCCACAACATAAGCCTCTAAATGAAAGAAATCACATTTCTCTGACTGGAACAAAAGAGAAAATAGAGTATAAAGCAAAACATTCTACTTTGACTGAGAATCTGAATCCTTCTATACAATAGGTATGAATAATTTATTACTACTGTCCATGTAAGTTACATCGTGTCCTAACTAACACTTTGAAGGAACATTTTTCTTGTTATCAGCACAAAATAACTTGGACTAAAGTGTATGTTACAAATATTTGACAATTTCAGAAAGTATAGCTACACTAGATTGCAATGACATGTAGGCATAGAAACTCAAACAGAAACTGGTGAGGGAGTTGAAGAAGAGATCACATTTTCGGGTGGAATTTCAACGAACTCAGAAAGGAGAGTTCTGAATTCGTCTCCGGTAATTGTCTCTTTTTCAAGTAGGACTTCCACAATTTTATCGATGGCCTCACGGTTGTTCCTTATATGCTTCAATGCAATTTCATATGCTTCATCTGAGAGCCTCTTGATAGCAAAATCAATGTCTTCAGCAAGCTTTTCTGACATTGAGTTTCTAGCCATCATTCTCATGATGACATCTGCATTTTGACCTGAGCCGTCCATAAGCGACCAAGGACCAATATCGGACATTCCAAATGTGATTACCATCTGCAAGAATATCATTTCATTTATTAGGATGACAAAGTTGTGATTAGAAGGATAAGGTAGTAAAATGAGGGAAAAGGATCTATTGATAACTGAAATAATAATTCATTCAAAATGAATGTATCATTCATTAGTTTAAAAGAAAAAATTTCAAGCATTATAGAAATCTTTAAACGTGGCCTGATCTCATTCATGTCTCCCCAAATAAAAAATACTCAGAAAATATGTGAAACGTATTAAGCAACAACAGAAAATGACGTGATTATGTCAAAGAAAAAAGACCTGTTTAGCCAAACTGGTTATTTGCTGCAAATCACCAGCTGCTCCAGTTGTAACCTCGGGCTCACCAAAAATAATTTCCTCTGCTGCTCTTCCGCCAAGTCCACCAACAATTCTTGCAAAGAGTTGTTGTTTGGAGATTAGTGTTGGATCATCAGAAGGAATGAACCAAGTGAGACCCCGAGCTTGCCCACGGGGAACAAGGGTTACCTTTTGTACAGGATCATGACCAGGAGTCAAAGTTCTGCAAGTACAGTTTGACATTTCAGAATAATTTTCGACAAACTAGTAGCTAAAACATATCCTAGATGTGAACCATTGTTTTCCCTGATGCTCAAATTGATTTCATAATATAAGTTCATCCATACTAGACTGGAAGAGGATTGTAACAGGAATTCATGAAGGCAACAATATATTGCTTATATTGCAGTATTACACAATTTTTACATGAAAGACAACTACAGCTTAATTTTAGGCTTACCCACAAATGGCATGCCCAACTTCATGATATGCCACTAAATTCTTGCTCTTCCCGTCTATCATCACTGTTCCTTCCATTCCAGCCACAATCCTATCAATAGAATCGTCAATCTCTTTGGATGAAATTTCTGTCTTTCCACGCCGACCAGTTAATATAGCAGCTTCATTCAAGAGGTTTGCAAGATCAGCTCCACTAAAGCCAGGTGTTCTCATTGCAACTACCTCGAGAGAAACATCTGCATCAAACTTTTTATTACTACCATGAACCTTTAGTATTTCAGTCCTTCCCCGAATGTCTGGAACATCAACTGATACCTGCAAAAGCATTATGTTCAGTAATTTACTCACTAAAACTGATTTCTTAACAAAAGAAAAAACAAGCGTTAAATGCATGTATATTTCCTAATACAATCTTTATTTACCTGTCTATCAAACCGCCCCGGTCTCAATAAAGCAGAATCAAGAATGTCAGCCCTGTTGGTTGCTGCAATGACAATGATTCCGGTATTGCCCTCAAATCCATCCATTTCTGTCAAAAGCTGGTTGAGGGTTTGTTCCCTTTCATCATTCCCTCCACCAATTCCAGCGCCTCGTTGCCTCCCCACAGCATCAATTTCGTCAACAAAAACAATACAAGGAGCATTCTCTTTGGCCTTCTTGAATAAATCACGAACTCGAGAAGCACCAATACCAACAAACATCTCAACAAACTCAGAACCAGAGATTGAGAAAAACGGGACACCTGCTTCACCAGCAATAGCCTTGGCTAATAGAGTCTTCCCAGTCCCCGGGGGACCAACAAGAAGAACTCCTTTTGGAATGCGAGCTCCAATAGCAGTGAACCTCTCAGGCTTTTGTAGAAACTCCACTACCTCCACAAAATCCTGCTTCGCTTCATCAACCCCAGCAACATCATCAAATGTCACTCCGGTATTTGGTTCCATTTGAAATTTGGCTTTGGATTTACCAAAAGCAAAAGGAAAGCCAGACCCACCAGGACCACCCATCCCAGATGAACGTCGTGAGAGAAGGAACAGTCCTCCAATCACAATTATAGGGACAGCCAAATTTCCAATCAGGTTTGAAAATAAAGAATCTGACTCTTCTTGGGCATTATGAGCTGCAAAGTCGATGTTCTTTTGCCTGAATTTCTGAAGGAGTTCTTGGCTAAGTCCAGGAAGTTGAATTCGCACTCGCTGCACCCGATTACCTAACTCGGGAGAAACAGCCTCTACAATAGCTATAGTTCCATTCTCATACAGATCAACTTTTTTAACCCTGTCTTTGTCCAAATACTCAAGAAACCTAGAATAAGACATTTTGGAGGACGAAACCCCTTGTTCATCAGCATAAGCTTTTGCGCTTCCTAATAATGCGGGTAAACCAACTGTCAGGTTCAATAATTTCAGAAATCCTCTTCTCCCTTCTTGTTCCCTTTGATCCAAAGACGCCTTGACTAATATAGTTTTCGATGCTCTTTTCAATTTTGAATGTCTCCAAGAAAATAAAACATGTCTTCCATTTATGTCCTTGTGAATATTTACTTTATTACTATGCGTAGATAAACTGTTCCCAACAAGGCATGCCAATGATGCTGCCATCTGTATCAAAAAGAGTATTCAAAAAGTCAGTTCAGAAAAAAAATATATTATACAAATACGTTTTGTGATCATCAAATAATTTCTTATTACAAAAAGCAACACAGTAAATTCAGTTATCGCTGTCGATTAATTTCTTATCACACAAACCAACACAGCAAATTCAATCAACATTCTACTTTACACACAAGTGTATACATGTATGAGAGAGTAGTTTTTTTTTTTTTTTTTAACTTCAAAATAAACCATTGAACCATGCATCATGTTTGGCCAAAACTAACATAAAATTACTAAATACACATTAGCTTTAACACACATAAACAAAATAAGCAATTCATAATTTCATAGAAGCATTTTTTCAAACAAGTTACGGTCACTCAAATCCTAAGCAAGTCTCAATTGAAGTTCCCATGAAAAGGTAGAAGAAGAGAGCACATGGTGAGTGACATACCTTGAACGAAGAGGGTGAGAGATGGAGAAGAAGTAAATGTGGGAGATGGTAGTGGTAGTGATGCGATGGAATGCAAGAGACGTGTTGAGAATGGAGAGAAATGAATGTGACGGAGGGGTGAAACGTGTAACAAGCGGCAAAATTATTGGACTTAGGGAGGTTTTGGAGTTTTTTCCATATCAATTCATGCCATAATTCTCTGGTACATACTTTAAGTTTTTTTTTTAAAAAAAAAACTTTAAAAAAATGAATATTTCTAATATTTTAATAATAAATTTTAGAAAATCGTTTTCTAAAATATTACAAATTATTATTTTTTTTTATTAAAATATTAATTTGGACATTTTATAATATATATTATTGTAGATCAAAATATAGTCAAAATTATTAATCAAATAAACACAAAGTTAATTAGGTCAATTTGTTAGTTAGTTAGTAAAAGTTAGTTACTTTAACAATTCTAATTAATTAGATAATTTTCTTATACTCTGTGAGTAACCAGCATGTAACTCATCTTACATATAAACTACATACTTATCTCAATCAATATATGAGAATTTATTCCTTTTTTTCATATTCTATGCGTTAACTTTCATATGATCATAATAGAAATCGCAATTTTTTTAAAATATAGTCGAAATGCTTTGGTGTTTGATGTTAATCTTGATTTTGTTGTCATTGAAAAGTGAAACCATATGATACGAGATTTGTTAAGATAAGTTTGGAGAAAGATGAGTGAAGAGAAGAAATAGATAAATTTTTTAGTTTTTTTTTTATAAATAATTAGTAACAAACTTGTGTATATGTATGAGATACATTTTTGCGTGGTATATAATTTTGAACGCGCATTTTTTTCCTTCAGATTGACATAAAAATAAAAAGTTGGGAGAAAAAAACTTAAAAATAATAGTAAATTTAAGTTAAAATAATAATACATGTAAAAGATGAAACCGTAAACAACAATATTATGAATAATATAATTAAAAATAAAAAATTATTGTCTTGTATTAGACAAATAAATTGTTTTAGTTTTTTACAAATAAAATAATTATTTGATAAGAGATAATACAATTTTAAAATATCTACTCAATCTTTTTTAATAAGCTCCTCTAATCTTTTTCACATATTTAAAAAAAATTATCGATAAATTTATATTATTCAATATTTGGATTAGCAGTAAAGTTGTTCTCAACTTCTCATTTATAACAATAGTATTTTATTTCTATGTATAAAAGTATTTTAATCAATAATGTATTTTTTTCGTACATAAATATTATTTCTGTTTTGACATTATTTATAAAATATTTGAATCAATAGTAAAGTTATTCTTGTATATAAAAATATTTGAATCAATGATGTATTTTTTTCTGTATACAAATATTATATTTGTTTTGAAAATATTTATAAAAATGTTTAAATCTATAGTAAAGTTGTTTAAATTTATAATAATAATATTATTTATAAAAATATTTAGATCAACAATACATATTTTTTCCTATATAAAAACACTTTGATCAACAATACATTTATTACCGTGATCATAATTATACGTCATATTGATATCAATAATAAAAATTAAACATTTAATTAATTTTATTTTTTTAGATCTAATAAAAAAAATTAAACTAGTCAAAATGTGGTGGAAAAATGGTAAGTACACGTGCTATACCACATTTTATATCACATATTGTTTGATGGAATATGGTGGAAAAAAAGATTGTTTTAAAAATAATTGAGTCATTTGTTATAACGTTCTGATTATTTTAATTATTTTATTTTTATTTGAGTTTGGTGTGTTTATGAATGATTTGGTTCATTTGATTATTTTATGAGAGTGGGTAAAATGACTATTTATTTAATTGTTTAATTAATTAAAATAATAAAAAAATAAGAGGAGTTGAGTTTTGGGATAGTAATTTAGAATTTTCAGAGAAGTAAGGAGTCGGGTGTGATATTAGAAAATATGAGAGGATTAAGAGAATTAATTAGAATAAAGTAAAATAAGAATTATTTTATAAAATAAAAAAGAGGGGAATAAAAAACACACTACGAGAAATTGGTGAGGTGAGAGAAAGAGAGGAGAAAAAGTCATAGTACAGTAAGAGTGAGAAGATGGAGATTCCACTGTCAAGGTTGAAGTTTTATCGCATAAGCGAGGTAATGGAGGAACTTTTCATGATAAGGGTGTTTATTCTTGTAGGATATAGGGAGATTCTTACCCCTTATCTTTTTTTTCTTTTTTCACTTGTCCTCCATTGATGAGGGTTTTGTGAATCATGTGAGGTTTGTGCAAAATCTTCATAATTGATTGATGTGTTTTTAATTGTACAAATATCACTCACATGCATAGACACACATGCATATTAATTTATAATATACAAAACCTTCATAGTTCAATAACACACACATGCATATTGAAGTAAAGGTAACGAGTACATTTGTATTAATTCTTGCATATGTGAATGTTTGTGATTTGTGAGTGATATTTGCTTGTGTATGATGTTGTTGTGCATGAATATTATGAGTGAATATTCATGCTTGATTGTACTATCCTTATTGATTATGTCCTATTAACTTATATGGGTGTATTCTCACTCCCTCCCCCCTATTTATTTTCCGTGTGTTCTTGATCCTTGTGATGCAGATACTCAAGTATGAATTAAGACGCCTTAACAGTTGGTTGCCTTGGAGGAGGGCATTAGTGGTCTTCTTTGCCTTTTTGGTTTTTGTTGTTGTTTTAGATTCCAAGTGTCGCTTTGAATATTGTAACACTGGAATTAGGTTGTGTTATTGATGTTTTTTATAGTGATTTGAGTTTAAAATATTATGAATATTTTATGTGGTTTTAAGAATTTTCGAAGCATGTTGTAAAAAAGTTTTGAATTGTGCGGATGTGAGAAGTTGATTTAATGTGTTGATGTTTGTTTGAATGACGATTACTTGAAAATTTAAGAAAGGTTCCTCAGGACCAAGTAATCGAGAGGGTGAATCGAAGACTCGACTTTTTCTCTTTTTCAAACTTAATTGTGAAAAGGTTTTGATATAGTTAAAGTATTTTAAGCGGATGACGATTACTTGAAGCTTAAGAAAGGCTCATCGGGGCCAAGTAATCGGGAGAGTGAGTCGAAGACTCGACTCTCTCTTTTTCATCTAAGTGATTGAGAAAATATTTGATTTGTTTTTTTATGAAAATAATTTGATGTGGAACGTATTATAAGTCTTTTAGAGAAGACAATTATTCGAGTGTGAAGAAGACTCCTCACACTTACACAATCGAAGAGAACTCGAAGTCTCCAGTCCAACCCTTTTTTCATTGTTTATTGAGAAATGTATTTCATAGTTGTTAAGTGTTTTAGTTTGATTCGAAAAATACTTGATGTGAATCGAAGTTTGAGTTTGCGAAATGATTAATGGATTCGAACTAAATTGTAAGGAGGTCCTAATTGTGTAGGGCAAGGTCGATGGCGATGCACAAGGCAATCGACTTACAAGAGTTGGGGTAGGGTTTGATATATGGATCAAGTATGCTTTAGGGTTTTGGAATTCAATCATCATGCAAAGACAAAATATAAATAAACAAGTAAAAGAAAGCAATCGAATTAAATTTTAATCGTGTGCACTAGCAAAGTGAGCTAGTCTTCTAAACGACCAACTAGAAATAATTGATCGAACAGGTCTCATTGTAAGGAAGTTCGGGAGTAAGCTTTGAATGTTGTGTATGGTGATAAAAAAAAAGGTTGTTGGCGATACTTAAAAGCATTCGACTTACAAAGGGTGAAAAATGGTTCGATGTGAATCGAGAGTTTATTTTGAAAAAAAATGGTTTGAATATATGAGAAACAAAGATCAAAACAATATCATTACAACATGTACACAAGATACAAGCAATGACATAGTCAAAATAATTGATTAACAGGAATTAAAAATCTAAATGATAAAAAAATAAAACCTAAACAATTAAATTCTAAATGTAAATCAAGATTGAAATGGTTAGTTCAAAATCCAATTAAGAAAATATTTTTGAGATTTTTTATTTAATCGAAAATATCTAAGCTAATTAATCTAAATAAAAATTATCAATTCTAACAAAAATATTAGAGTTCAATCGGAACATGAGTTAGAAAATAAATACAAACCTAACTAATATTAAAATTACTAATCAGGACCAAAATAATTCTAATATTTTTATCATATTTAATGTTAAAAAAATTAATTACTAAAAACCTAAAAAAAACATTGGATTCCAAAGTAATAGTGTTCCAAACTTACAATTGGGTCAGGCCCAAAACAAAAATTCAATTAATAAAATAAAACCTACACTTAATTTTTCTAATCCAGCAATAATTTAAAAAAACAAAGAAAGTATAAAGAAAATAATTATAAAAAAAGCAACCACAAACTTTCATCAAAACAATCAGAAAAAGAACAGAAACTTTGACTTTAAAATAAAAAACCTGAGAACGAGTAGTTGCTCTTTCTTCCCTTTTCATCTCTCAAAGCACAACGCAAGTGACAACTTCTCACGATCCCACATTGCTTCCTCTATCCATAA